CTTGCATCTTCTTTTTGCCTTGTCAGAAGAATTCGCACATGAGACATACTTAGGCAGTACCACTTCCACAAATTACATGCTTTAATTCTGACTCATTCTGTGCAAGTAAACATAATCATTTATCTAGTTTTCATAATTTTTTCCATTTTAAGCCCACAACCTAGTAATATATTAAAGTGGATCCAGCAGTTTATCAGAATTCATGAAACACACCTACCAAACTAGAAATTAGACACAAAAAGATGCCTAAAAAGTGTTCTTGCCTTTGATCTTGAAATCCAGTGAACTTAGGATAAAAGCCTTTTAGTCAGGCATCAGCTGTGGACCTAGAGGGCTAGATGAGAAGAAAATGCTTTTTAAAAGAAACAAACAGTAATCCTTCTGATTTATTAGATAAATCCCTTTTAAGTATAGGTTACAGAATACTGACTGTGAATTGTTTGCATTTAATAAACTTTTCTCCAAAAAAAAGTACATGCTTTAAAAAATAATGTATGCACTTAATTTACTTGTGTATGTTAGAAATTAGAGTGCCAAAATCCATACCATGTTGGGATCTACGTAATAGAATGAATTCAAACATAGCTGCATAGTGGACATTGAAAGAGTCCATTTAGCCTGGTGTTCTGGTTTCTTTTCTCTGTTGCTGTGGTGAACACCATGACCAAAATAACTGGGGGAGGAAAGAGTTCATTTCATCTTACACTTCTAAGGCACAGTTTATCTTTGAGGGGAGTCAGACAGGAACTCAAAGCAAGACCTAGAGGTGGGGACGGGAATATAAACAATGGAGGAACCTCCTTGCTGGCTTGATCCCCTTGGCTTGCTCAGCTAGTTTTCTTATACTGCCCAGGCCCACCTGCCTAGGTACTAGCCACAGTGAGCAGGGCCCTTCTATATCAATTAGCAAACAACAAAATGCTCCACAGACTTGCCAACAGGTAAATACAATGAAGGAAATCCCTCAGTTGAGATTCCCTCCTTCTGGATGCCTCTGGTGTATGTCAACTTGACAAAGTCTAGCCAGCACCCCTTGCATGATGGTGCATGCTTCTATTCCCAATACTTGGAGATGTATTTCAAGCCCTGCTTGAGTTGCAGACAGCCTGGAAGGGTCTCTACCTAATATCCTATCTGAAAATAAATGTTCTCTTTATTAAAAAAAAAAAATATATATATATATATATATATATGTATG